TAGCACCACCTGGAGCAGAACAAGACAAATCACATAATGAACAGCTCCAACATAGCCAATGATAATTACAATATTAGAAGGACAATACCATAATCAGTTTAATAATTATTAAGAGAGGTAATGAAGAATAGAAGATGGAAATAATCTCTTGGGCAACCATGAAAGCTTTTCTCCTTATTTTACTAATGTAATATTTTACTAATGTAAATAAAGGGAATGGAATACTTAGGAGCTAAATCTTCACATGTTCAATTTTGTCTTTAGTTGTTTTATTTAAAAAACAACAGATTTAGTAAATAAGAGATGAACAATTCCTAAAAAAAGAAAAAAAGCAGCAAAGCAGGTGAAATTTCAGGCAGGACGAAATGATAATCTCAAGAATTATACAAAAAGTTTCATGAGCCAAATACAAAAGGAATAAAATGAAAAAGAAAATGACTATAATTATTACTAGAAATAGTATTTATTTCCCATTTCCTTTACTAGAAATCAATCTAGTAATACTTCAACTAGAAAATACTACAGTATAACAATACTTTAAAATTTTAAATATTGGCAAGTTTAGTTATTTAATAAAAATTCTTTTAAAGATTTTAGTTTTTGGTCGTGTGTGGTAGCACACACTTTCAATCCCACCCAGATCTTGAGAGGCAGAGGCAGGTGGATCTCTGAGATCAAGGCCAGTCTATTCTACATAGAGAGTTCCAGGACAGCCAATGCTACACAGAGAGACCCTGTCTCAAAACAAAAGTTTAGTTTTTGGTTGGTGCTGGGGAATCAAACTTACAACCACCTTTAAATGTCTACACTTAAAAAGTTATATAGTTTTTCTCTATGTCAAACATCTCAATTATTTAACTTTGAGCCAACTAACATTTACAGAGCACATATGAGCCAAGTGTAGGCAAAAGGATGTTAGCAGAGAAGAGAAGACTTAATGCTGTGGATGGAGATTGAATCTAGCAAGGAAGACAGGAATTGAGGACTCCACAACATTGTTGTGGAGTATTATTTTAACTGGACAAAGATGTGTTACATTTATTTATGCTGTAGCATATTACTTTAACTATCTAAAAGTATGTTACATTTGTTACATTTGATTGTGCCGCATTTATTTAATGATGTAAGAATGTGCGTTTAATGATATAAAGATGCACTGCATTGCCTGCCTAAGGTTTTATTAGACCTGATGGGTCTAATAAAAAGTTGAATAGCCAATAATAGCTAGGCAGGAGAAGCATTGGCAGGGTAGAGAGAATAGGAGGAGAAATCTAGGCTTGAGAAGGAGAAGAGAATGAGGAGAACAAGAGGGACACACCCAAGGTCAGACATGAGAGCAGTGAAAGTAAGATATACACAGAAGTAAAAATCACAGAGGCAAAAAGCAGATAGAAAATTAGGAACACATAGTAAAGGCTCCAAACATAAGAGGAAAAATCCAACTAATTTCTCTAGAAATCTAAAAACTGAAAAATAGACAAAAATATTGACAGGAGGGAAATATATTCCCAAACTGAAGGAACAGCATGTACAATGGCCTTGGGACTTAAAAAGGCATTAACAAAATGGAGACAGGAGATGTGGCTCAGAGGGTTAAGGGATATGCTGCCAAGCTGAATACCCAGAGTTCAATCCCCAGGACCAACATGAAGAAGAAAAATCAATTCCCACAAATTGTTCTCTGACCTCCATACAAATGTGTAGTACATGCAAACACACACCACACACAAACAAAATAAACACAATTAAAAAATATAAGAAGTAGTTACAGAGCTAGACAAGGTGATACAGGCTTATAATTCCAGCTCTGCAAAGTCAGTCTGAAATGCAGAAGATCCTATCTTAATAAAATAATGAAGAAAAAAAGGCCCAAACACAGTTAAGTCTCGTTTAGCACACAAAATACAAAAAGACAAGGGTCAAGAGAAAAAAGTTAAGAAGAGTGATAGATGCATTGTAAATAAATTCTGGTGAAAATAGTCTAAGGTCTTTAGGGAAAAATGAGAGATTTGCTTTAAGATAACTTACTGTGGTTTTCTCTCTTAGCAGCAATGAAAATGAAACTGTAAAAAATTCAACTAAAAGTAAAAGCTAATTTAGTGAAACACATCCAATTATTCAAACTACAAAATTTGGGGTTGGGATGTAGCTTAATTGGTAGAGTTCTTGTGCATTATCCACAAACACTAAGTTCTATTCCTAGCACAAGATAAACCAAGTGTGGTAAGGGTACACACCTGCAATCTCAGTTCTCAAGAGGTAAAGGGGAAAGAATTGCAAATCAAAGTCATCCTCATTTATAAGTCAAACACACAAAAATTCCTATAATTTTCTTAAGGAACCGAGTACCTGATGTCAAATTCAAGTACTTACCTCACAATACATAAACTCTGAAGAATACACCACACTTCATTATTTCTACAGTTCCTATACTAAGGCACACTTCTAACAACTACTATATTCAGATAATAAATGAACACAGCTGGCATGTTAATGCATAACAATTTCACAGATGTTAACAAGGTGCTATATTACAGTAATATGAAGTCAAATGCAGAAGCTGCAAACCAAAGCAACCAGAGAACACACTCAATTTGTTATCACACCTACAATTTGGTTTCTTTGTTAATAAAAGGGGTCTCTTATAGAGCTGCTATGAAGCACAAATGACACCACTTGTTCTGCAAACTCAAAGTTATTTTATACAAGCAATGATTTATATTGGCTATCCCTAAGCAATCAAAGCATTATATGGTATAAAAGTAACTTTATGGAAGACTATTTTTTTTTCACTGAGTCTTACTGGAGGAGCTAAATAAAACACTAATGTCTAAATAAAATCAACTCAGCCTGATTATGAACTTCCTAATTTCCAAAAATTTTCCCAGGAAACGTTCAAACATTAAATTCAAAGACCTAATGAAAAGACAGCAATCTGTTTCATTTAAAACCCAACACAGCCGGGCAGTGGTGGCGCACGCCTTTAATCCCAGCACATGGGAGGCAGAGGCCGGCGGATCTCTGTGAGTTTGAGACCAGCCTGGTCTACAAGAGCAAGTTCCAGGACAGCCTCCAAAGCCACAGAGAAACCCTGCCTCAAAAAAAAAAAAAAAAAAACAAAAAAAACCAAAAACAAAACAAAACAAAAAACACAGAACTCAATAATCACTATGGAAAATATACAGTGATAACTGAAAGGAGAAATGGTGAGAACATTCCTAATTAGTAGTTGAGTTGCTTGTCAGATATATCCTGGGATGGGGAAATCTTTTATCTCGTCTATAACTTAAAAATAATTTACTTAAAACTTACCCCTTTGTTTTGTCAACCACACTTGAAATGGAAATTTTTAAAAAAGAAACTTTGGCATAATGTAAATACATCATGGGAATTTTGGAGAACTATCCTATTTTATAAGGAAAAGAAAAAGAAAAAAAAATGACCTTAGAGGGGCAATGCCCCTTTCTGTTTACAGAAGATATAAAAGTGAAAAAAATTTAAAGTTAACATTGCGCCAAATTGAAATGAGAAATAAAAAGATAAATTAAGAAACAAATGGCACGGGGGCGGTGGTGGCACACGCCTTTAATCCCAGCACTCGGGAGGCAGAGGCAGGCGGGCCTCTGTGAATTCGAGGCTGGGCTGGACTGTCCGACAGCCTCCAAAACAATAGAGAAACCCTGTCTCGTAAAAAAAAACAAAAAAAAGAAACAAATGGCAATACAAAAAGAAAGTAGCTAAGTTTGAAATGAAAAATCACAAACTGTAAAACTGTTATACTAAAACTATGAGGAAGAAAGCATAAGAAAATGACTTGTGAAAGGAAAGCAGCTACTAAGAAAGCAGGCTGCAGTGACTGTGCTCAGGTGAGGAGCACTAAGTGACAAGTATAGAGGAATAAAGTATGAACGGAAGGGGAAGAAGGAACAACAATGGTAGGGAACATTGATGAACAGGAAAAGCAGTATAGCATAATTTGCAGAATTATTTTTGTTATATTAATATTAAAACAACAGTAAATCTTACCAATAAAAGATAAATAAAACATAACCAACCATGATTATACATCATGCAAATATCAGGATATTTTTCAAAAACCGGTAAGAGGAAATGACCCAGAATGCATCACAAAAAGAAAAATGTAAACAGAAAAGAGAGTAACAGACTAAATAACAACAACAACAAAAAAAAAGGCCTTCATTTGATTTATTTAAGTCCTAGAAAGAATAATGATGCAGACATTATTTTAAAATAAGAATTTTTCAGCGCCACTAAAAGACATTAGGTAGGAGCGGGCACACGAGAGAAGTTAGGACTAATCTAAGATCTCTAAAAGCCAGGAGCTGACAAATTGGTAGATGAAACAAGTATCTCTAAAATGGCATAATTTACCTGTTTATATTTCTTTGGGAAGAGCAAAGGTAAAGTCATATAAAGTTAAGATTATAGCGTTAGACAATATAGTGGAAAGGAGAAACATATAAGACAAGAATCAAAAAGGCGAGTCCTAAGGATGTTCTACTAATTTATCAGGACAAAGTCTAGCAGTAATAGAGCTGACAGGCTGTGTCTAGAAAGCAATTCAAGAAAAACTTATATGCAAATTTGTTTTCTTTGATACTTTCTAGATAGAACTATACAATGCTTATTAAAAACAACCAAACTAGTTGTTTAATAACTAGCTGTTTACATTTAACTGGAATTATGATAATAATAAACTAAACAAAATATAATTTTTAGTAAGGAAGTTTTAGGAAAAATAAAACATTAATGAGATGACCAATCTTCATAAGAAACAAGGCCTATAAAATTTACAGCTGTACATTATGACTTCATTATTAAAAGTATTTATGTAAGAAAATCTGAGGATTTTCTTTTTCAATGTTGATATTATGTAATACATGCATAATATAAAGTTCTCTGACAACACAGTAACTAAAAATTTTCTTTTCAATTATTTTTTACCTAGAGGAAACCACAATATGGTAATGTCAACTCACCAATGCTAGGCGGACTACCATAGTTAACTGGAGACTCTGGTGGCCTTCCACAATGTAGTGCAGCCAGAGCAGATCCTTTCCATACCACATGCTTGCAGCCTATCAAAACATGCATTTTATAAATACAAAAATAATAAAACACAAGAATTGAGAAAATGAATGTCTAAATTGTAATAGAAAACATCCATACTTTTATTTGTACGTAGCAAGGACTGTCTCCCAGCTCCTAATAAAGTTTGTACTCCAGGGACACTCTGAGGAATTTCTTGCTCAAGAAGAGGTCCTAGTCGATGACAGATTTGCAGCAAGTGATCAGGTGCAAGATGTCTATAATACTTCACCTGTTGTGTCAAAAACAGACATAGGCACCTATTACGTTCCAGACAAACAAAAATATTTGCTATGTAATGTTAAGTAAAACAGTTACAAAAATTAGTCTGTTTAGGCTGGTCAACACTGTTTTCACTCCAAGAGAAATTAAGATTACCATACTGGTGTTTAATAGGTTTCTAGTATATGAAACATTAATGCCAACCACCAGTTAAGTGCAGCACACATTAACAAAAGAACCCAGTAATGTTTAAGGGGCCTTGAGCCAAAGTCTAAAAGTATTTGGGGCCTTAAGCCCAAATTTCAAGCCCATTGGGCAAACACTTAAAGTAATACTGAGGACTATGTAAATAGATAAATCCTTTTTATTATGTCTCATATATCTGTTACATTCTTTTTATTTTCCCCTTTCTTGGTGTTGGGGATAGACCTTATGGCCATGAGCATGCAGGGTCACTGAGATACACCTTTAGGTTTTATTATACACTGAAGAGTAGCATAAATACTTTTTAAAATTGACTAATAAACAGACTTCTAACATGAAGTCAATAAGAGAACTCTTACTCCAGAAGACATTCCTGTTGTAAATGGAGCCATGCTGTCACACTGATAATTAAAAATAGCAATCTAGAATGTATATATTTAAGTAGTCAAAAAGGCTTGGAAGAACGAGTAGCTTTAGAAAAAAGATAATAAAATAAAATATATATTACAAGCTATGTACAATATACTACACTACTCTGGCCAGTGTCAGTAAAGTCTCTGAGACTCCAGATAATTTCTGTTTCTAATTTGTTTAACCCATGATTTCCCTGACTTTTTTAGTCACAGCACTACTTTCGCCCTAGTATCTGTCAGATTCAAAACATGCTTTAAGAAACACTAACAATGCCAAGTGGTAGTGTACTTGGGAAGCAAAGGCAGGCAGATTTGAGTTCAAGGCCAGCCCAGTCTACAAAGCAAGTTCCAAGACAGCTAGAGCTGTTATACAGAGAAACCCTGTCTTGAAAAACCAAAACAGAAACACTAGTGAGTAATAAATTAGTAAATTAAATTATCTTTATTGTTAGAAAGAAAACATAACAAATGATTTTTAAAATTATATTTATACTTTTCATTGATAAGCCCCAGAAAATTTAGGATTCTGCATACAAGGAGCCCATAGTTAGTTAGCAAAGTTATCTAAACTGCTCAAAGTATTTTGAATGTTCTTACCACACAAAGATACAATCAATGTATTAGGTGATATGCTAAATGCTGACTGATAGCAATACAATAAATATGTGCCTAACATTGCACTTTACCCCTAAAGAATTCTGTGTCAGCTAAAAATATAACTAAGCCTGAGAAGATGGTTCTGCAGGTAAGAGTACTTGTTGGTCAAGCATGGGGAGCAGAGTTCAAATCCCTAAACCCACATGAAGATCCAGAGTGGTCACACATGCCTATAACCCCGGCATTGAGGACAGAGATAGGAGAACTGCTGGGGCTTACTGATGGTTAGTCTAGGGCCAGGATCAGTAGAAGACCCTGTCTCAAAGGACTAATATAGAGAGCCATAGAGGAGAACATCTGCTCTCTGTCTGTCTGTCTGTCTGTCTGTCTGTCTGTCTGTCTCTCTCTCTCTCTCTCACACACACACACACACACCTTAAATTATATAAAAGAACTTTAAATAAAAAGGCCTGAAGTATTTGCAAGGTGCCTTTTGGATCAAAACTTGCACAATTATTGTTTTAAAATATTTTTCTAAATTTACTTGTTTCTTGACGCCACCACTGCCTGCCAAGACAAAAAAGCATTAGATTCCCAGGAACTGGAGTTACATGGTTATGAGATGCCTCATGCATGTGTTGGAATCTCAGCTTAGGTCCTCAGCAAGAGCTACAAATGCTCTTAAACACTGAGCCATCAATGACCCAAATTTTAATGTGACCTCTAAAAACTGCTCAAAATTCCTTTTCAGTCTTTAGAATCTGCAGGCACGATGCCTTTTCAAGTAGTAAGCCTGGTGGTAACCTTTTCTACAGATCTCTACCTTTTAGTAAAATACTGTGAATCCATTTTGACTAAAGCTTTGATAATACAGAACATTCCAATTTTCCAAACTCAACTTTGACTTTCCAGTTAGAAAAGACATTCCGTTCTTAAATGCTATGCCTTCTCCAGTTCTTGAGATACTAAATCTAGAAACTGATCTACTAGGAATCTTTTCTTTACCCTCCCACTTCCAAACCACATTTTCCTCATGTCTGCCTATGCTTCACTGTCTTCTGTGAGCTGTTCGTACCACCTTAGTCCCTTCTTTTTGTACATCCTTAGTTTCCATTTCAAGCTTCCCTTGTCAACCTTAACATTTCATAGCATGTACATTAATGCTTAGAAAATCTTCATCCTTTAAACCTTAGTGGGAATCTAATGGTAGCTACATCCCCATCAGAAATCCATTCTGTGCCTCTCTAGCAAGGATTTCAGAAGACCTCATACTATATTGACTCACCATCAACTAACTTGTCTGTGTCCTAGGTAAACAGAATAAGACCTGTCTACAAGGTACGGAACAGAACTTCAGGGAGTTAATGATTATTAGGTAAATGAACATGTTAACAAATAAGAATTGCTGACTTCACCACTATCCAATACTGCAAACATTTTATTCCTAGCACATAGAACAAAATAATGTTTTACTTTATCCATTCTAGTGCTTTGTTCTAGTAGTTTCTAACATTTTTCAAAGCCACAGACAATTCCCCAAACCAGGTACTATCAGAATATTCTAACATAAGTAGCCCCAAGGAATACATATCTCTCAGTGTTTTGTTTGCCACTATTTCTCTTCAGCAGTCTGTTGTAAGGTGTTATCACCAAAAGGCATGGGGGAGAGGGGTTAAAAACAGACAATATTTCCTTTCCCAAGGCATAAGCTCTTCTGAGTCCTTTTCCATAACACCTTTCTCATCCACTTATCATCTACTTATGGGGGGAGCTTTGTTTTCTCCCCCATCAAATCCCTGAAGCTACACCTGAACCTACTGTTTCTTAGCACAATTGGTCCTCTTAATATGTAAGATCTAAATCCTCTACCTATACTATGAATCCTAATTTGACTTCAAAGAAACCCCAAACTATAAGCTAGTCCTCATGTCTAAGTTCTTCTCAACTACCTCCTTCCTATTCATGCCTACATTTAAACAGCCTCAAGTTTCTTCATAGCAAAATCCCCAAATCCTCCATCCCCTTTCAGTTTTCATCATCCAGATGAGTTTCTAGCCTTTGCCTCCTCAGAACATGGGTTTATGTCTTTTTGACAGTTCATTATCAGTCTCATTTCTTCTCTCTTGCCTCAGACAACAGCTTTCACTGCATGAATTAAAACAAAAACATTAAGAAATACTCAAGGACTCATGGAAGGGGGCTAGCTTGCAAAATTATCTACTATATGATTCGACTTATATCAATTTTTGAGATACTATTTTAGAAATGAAAGGCACCTAAGGCATTGTTAAGAGATTAAGAGACATTAAGGCAGAGTGAAAATAGATACAAAGGGGCAATGTAAGAGATCCCTGTACTGTTGGCTATGGTCTTAGATAAATTAAACCACATGTGATATCCTTAATATTGCACCTGGTATAAGAGTCATCTGTTACTTTAATTATATTCCAAGTAACATATTACATATTGATTCATATATTGGGAAATAAAATACAATTGTAAAAATAATTACATAGAATGTAATATGCCTACACACATGAACACAAATAAGCAAGTGTGGGGAAATCTGGGATCTAAACGAGATTGTTACACCGTATTAAAGTCAATATCATTACTATGATTTCACAAGATATTTACTGGACCTACGTGCACATAGGCTCCCTCTCCCTCTATTTTTCATTTGTGAACCTACATGTACCTTAATGCGAAACTCTATTTAAAAGTAATATTGACAATAGAATCCTATTTATTATTAAAATCAATACAATAGCACCAGGAAAAAAGCCTCATTGGAGTTTACCTACTAACTAATGATTTTTTAAAAAACAAATCTGTATCTTACTGTCTCTGCTATCTCTCTAGCCCAGCTGAACACTTCCTACTTAATTTCCAAGCTATTCTCTGGCTTTCTCTATTGTGGATCCATTCCTTCTTACAGGTTCATCCTCTTGTACCTGGCCACAAAGTGGTAAAGTTCCTAGAGGTTATAGCTGTCAGAGCCCAAAATCCATATTGATTTCCTCACATACAATCTCTTTGGACAATTCTTACACTAATTCCAAGATTTACATCTATTCTTATCCTTGGCCATTCAACTTCCTCAGGACATCTGGAATCCTAGGCGTCTCTTTTAAGAACTCATTTGCAAAACTACAACCATGGACCCTCACATCAACACTCCACCCAAAAGTTCCAAAACATGAACTATCAATGTTAATTAGCTACCCAACCTTAAAAGCCAGAAGCACTTGACCCTTTCCATCTCTGAAAACAACACAACTCTTCTCATTTCTTTTCCACTTTCATCAAAATTATGTTTATCACTTCTTTCTCAGATCACATAGAAACACTACTAGAATTATTAACTGCAATTTGAATGGTATAATCATCTGAGAATGTGAATTGCAGCATATTTGGAAAAAAATATAAAGTGGGTGGTTGGTTAAGCTACATCTTTGGATAAACTAACCTGATGCTGGGTAGCATGTTATTCTGGTCAGTTTTTTGTTTGTGTTGTGTTTGTTTGTTTGTTTTTGTCAACTGGATACAAGCTAATGTTATGTGAAAAGAGGTTACACAATAGAGAAAATGTCTCCATTAGACTGTCTATAGACAAGTCTGTGGAACATTTTCTTGATTGATGATCATTTTCTTGAGTGGTAACTGATGTGGGAAGTCTTAAGAGCTTACTGTGGGTGGTGCACCCTGGGTAGGTGTCCTGTATTGTAGAAGAAAGCAGACTGAGCAAGCCAAGGAGAGTAAACCAGTGTTCCTCCCTGGATTCACTTAAGTTTTT